GTTGCCCGCCAGAATATGCCAGTAAGACATTGTGGAATACAGGATGGGTTTCAGTGACCTGCATTTGAAGAGCAGGAAAGGGTCAATTTTTTTTCCCTGAATTGTTAGCTTATCTCCACCTGCTGTTGTATTTTGGTGAGGGAGTGGGGATTAACCCTCAGCTCTCCTTCAGGCCATTCTTTCGTTTCTTTCAAGGTAGTATGCATTCAAAGTATGCTTCTCAAGAGCTCTTGGAATCCTTGAAAATGCAAATTGTAGTAAAAAATTAGTTATCACTTCCTTGTGACTAATGAGCATGGGCCCACAAAGTAAATAAAGCCACCATCCGTAGCTGTACATCCATATCTCAGTTGCTCACCAAGGCACAGCCCCTCTGCTCTCCCCAGTAACAATGTGGGGAGAGGTGAATTCTGGCTGTGGTAGGTCTTGGGCTGCTTAGCCCTTAGGTCTTGTCTGACCCCCCTCAAATGGAAAGGATGTTACTTTGTGGATAAGGGTAGATGGAGGCAAGAAAACGAGCCTCAAATAGCTCTGATCACTACTGGGATCTCTAGCACCAGAAAGCTAAGCAGACTCACAAGGTGTCAGCACACTTAGTCAAGGGCAGCTGGTATAATCCATACCAAATTGCCCAGCTACTCCCTCAGTCTATTGCAGTTACAGTCCTCCTTGGCTAACAAGGATACCTGTGCTAGCAGGTCAGTTTATTCCCTGTTTTGCTCTGGATTCCTTGTCCTCTGCTCAACCATATTGTTTACATCCAGATTTACGCACACCATCTGGTTTGATGTAAACTGCATTGTTTCCCTTGGTGGGAAACCCAGGCGCAAACTGGAGGATAGGTGTCTTGGCCCTACATACAGCGTATATACACACCAGCTTGGGACACTTGGCCCAGAAGATGCACGGCAGTCCTTGGTGCTGCCAGCAGAGCAGTACAGATATAGCTTATGCGTCCTGAAATTTCTTCTATCTGAAAACAATTACCTAATCTAAATAATGTAAGACAGCTAAGTCTTTCTCTGTCTGTCTCGTTTTCTGACCTGCTGTATGATCTTCATACGCTT